AGGCGAGGGAGCGTTCAAACATGTTTATGTACATGTGCACGTATGTGTGTATGTACATGTATGTGTATATGCATACATAGATATTGTTTTGTATATGTGTGTGTGTGCATGAGTCCGTACGTGTATTGATACGTGCCTTTCGGTTTAGGTTTAGGGGCTTAGGCATTTACAGCCATCGCAGCAGCCTTTAAATTTGGTGTGTTCTCAACTTAGATGAAACGTTTACTAGCTTCCACTCGTGGGAGTCACGGGTGCATCTCTCTCGTTTCATGTGTAGTCCTTGTCCTCGTTTCTTGCTGGCACCTCTTCCTGCGATTTCTTCTTGTGTTCGTTGTTCCACATCTCCGCAAGAGCAGACAGCTTCGGAAGATTGATGCAGCGTTTTTTGCGAGAGCTTTTAACAAAGCTCGGATTCCATTCGAGAGTGGGAACCTGTTTCAGCATTTTTGTACAAATATCGTGCAGAGCCAGCTTTTGCTTTTTGTTATATTGTGCATCAATTTCATGGCCGCATTGGTAGCACAGTGTTTGCTTGCTGTTCAAAAATAACGGAGGAAGTAAAGATTGTGACCCTGAACCATGTCATGTAAGCAGATATTCGGCATAAGATCTATGGTCCGGCTTGCCCTCCACAGCTGTTTCCAATATCAGGTCCTTTTGGGTAGGGCAGCATGGTGCGTGTTGCAATTTGTGCCTTGGCACTGTGTGCCATTGGCACTAGGGCCCAGTTCTTGCCACCAGGAACCACAGATGTTCCAATTCCAAGGCCAGGAGATTGTGGCCAGGTGGGCCCTGCAACATATGTTTATAGAATGTCACAGGAGAAGCCGAATGATTATTTCCCGGCAATCTGTGCCGGCATGGGTGGCGCAGAAGTTCGCTTTAACGACCCTTGCGCGTGGGCCCATGGACAAGCTCAAATGACTGGAGCCCATTTTACGAACATGTGCAAAGGTGCCACGCGCATGATTCACTGGCATAACCAGGCTGATGAGTGGGGCTTTGTTAGCAAAGGACGTCTCATGACTTTTGTGGCCAGCCCGGACGGGCTGCCGTGGCCGAGCTCTACCAACATTTTGGAACCACGTGGTGTGTGGTACTTCCCATCCAGCTGGCTGCACGGACTTATGTGTGTTACTCCAGAGGAAGAAGGTGGTTGCGAGTTCACCATCGTGTTTGCATCGCCCCAGGCTGCAGAACCCAACGGCCACAATCTCGACACCACTTTGGCACAAGCGGATGATGACGTGGCTGCTGCTGCCCTTGGACTATCCCTGGCCACATATGAAGCTTCCAGACCTGCTTTTGGCAGAGCAGAGCATTCTATTCATTACAGCAACAGCAATATGACAGCTCCCATTGTGACAGCAGTGGCTCCTGGTGCATGTGATCCGGAGTGTCCACCAATACACGAGACTGTTGGGGCACCAGCAGCAGTCCAGTCCATTGTAGAGCAGCGAGTGGAACTGCCCGGCGTGGCTGGAGTCACATTGTACCGCATCCGCACAGACCAGTTCCCTTTCTCTCGCACAATGTCCCAAGAGCGTACAGAACTGGCACCCGGGGCTGTCCGTCCCGTGGTTTGGACAACAGCGGACTCCTTCTTCATGGTCGTGTCGGGCACAGTCACCGTTTCAATGGAGGGTGGCATCTTGGGCAAGGAGGCGCACCTGGCGTTTACGAACGAGACCCTGAAGGCCAAGGACGAAATTCGGGCTTGCCCCGAAGCAAACAAGCCAGGAACGTTGATAATGTGCAGTGCAACAAAACAATTGGATGAGCCTTGCAATTTAGGCCTTCAAGAAAAGATTTCTGTGAGTAAGTAACCGTACAGTGTATGGGGCATGCATCAGACAACGTGGCTGGGTAGGCCAGCAGATCGTGCACGCCGGCTCGTACATGCTCTCGCGCGAGACCAAAGTCGCAGAGAACCTTGACCACCTAGCTTTTCTGCCGTGAAGCCCCAAAAAAGATTTGAACAAGCCTGTGAATCAGGCCGGTGACGCTGCTTACTTCCCCAATGGGCGTGCTTATTGGTTCCGGGAGGCGACCGGAAAGGCTTCTGCAGAGACCATCAATGTGTCCCGTCCTGAAGTGAGTTTTCGTTGTTTTCAACCGCGTTTAAGGATTCAAGTTTAGCTTTGGTATCCCGAACATTCTGCGTGCACTCAGCGCAGTAAGGCGTAGCGTTTGCGGTGTCAAGGTTTTCGATGTAGGTTTCTGAACCTGATTAGGCTCCCCCCAGTTGCCTGATGCATTTTTTGCAGGAGTCTTTGACTCGACTTCTTTGAAAGCTGTCGTGGAATCTGTTTGGAGCCTTGAGTCCTCGAAGTGCATCTCCCGGAATCTGCAAAGTCCGATGAAACTGTCATTGAAGCATTGAAGGTGTTCAACGTCGGCATCTGGAAAAGCATTGAGCTGGGTCACGCCATCTCCGAGATGCAGCTGGGATGTAGGTAGTTTGGGTGTAGACAGCGGCTCATACCGGTGGAAGGCTTCAGAGTGGTGCTTGTTCATTGTTGTCATTTGTCAGGCTGCTTGTTGCCACTAAGCACCCAGGGCTCGGGAACAGCATTTTAGGGCTTTGGCTTCCACACCTCAAGGCCCAATATTGTGGTGATGTCCAACCTCCACCAAGCACACTTTGCGAAGCACGTCCACATCTGAGGGGCCCAAGATGCACTGTGGCCACTAATGTTTCTGTCTACCAAGCCGGGGCATTGCCACAGTTCGTTTCGCTGAGTCAAACCTATTGAGGACACAACGAGTGCTACCTTACTGCATTCGTCGGCGGTCTTTTGTGTACATTAGTCAGGAGTCCGGTCCTGGAGACCTCAAGTTTTGTATTGCATTCCTTCCTACTTCTGGGTGATACAGTTGTCGGTAGGTTCGTCCTTTGAAGCCTCGACATTGAGACGATGCGCGACTCAGACCCTCTAAGCTGGATGGACAGAAAAGGTCGCTGCATGCCAGCTGCAGGCTTAGTCTTCATGGACTCACCCACCGTTTGCCAAAAAAGCTGGCGCAAGCAGGTTTCTGCTGGTAGCTTGTCTGGTTTTGGTCACCGTTTGGGAAGGCTGCCACGTAAAGCATGCGATGTTATTTGTGTGGCTCGAGCCCAGTTTAGACTGTCACTTGCTCCGGCCCTTTCTCTTATCCTCCAAACAGGCTCGTGGTCATGATGCACCTCGGTGAAATCTTCGCGGCCTCGGAAACCCCAGGTTCTGTTTGAGGTCTCAACAAGGCGTAGCCGTAACGGTCAAAAACGTCTCAGGTCCCTTGCGCGACTCCTGGTTATCGTCCCGGCTCTTGTGGGCAGGCATGGCTTTGAGGGCCCTGTAGGCAGCCTTTTTCAGGTTGTGAAATGTGGAGACCTGAGCAACAGCAGTGCAATCTCAGATCGAGCCTTCGGTGGCTTGCAACCCTGAGCCCTCAGCCAAGTAAAGCTTGGAGCTATGTTTACGTCGCCGCTTTTGCCTTGTACAGCTTCAGCCCCGAAGCAAAGTCAAGTTTACGTTCCAGATCCTCCTCACCCTTTTTCTCGGACCCTTGCACTCCCTGCACCATACACCTGAGCCCTTACCCGACCCACGAGCGGTGGCCAGCACCGTGCCTGACGCCAGCTGCCTGGCAGAGGGCCGAGACTGGGAGGCTATGCTGGTTCGGAGTTCGGGGTTGAGGGATGTTGATTGTTTGCGTGATGCTTTGGATTTCTTCCGAAAGTGCTGGGGAACTAGACAAATCTTTGGCTTTGGAGTGTTCGCGCGATGTTGAGCTTTAGGGCTCAGCAGCTTCTCGGGAATCGTCTACACAGGACAAGCGCACCGAGGATGTAGGCATACGGGATGTTGGATGGACGGGATGAAGATTGCAGGCGATGCAGTTCCGAGATATGAAGCCAGCGTCCATCTGTATCCTGTCGAGAACTGAAACGTCGAACAGGCCGATCTTTTTAAAAGCATACATCATTGGTCTCATCCTGTGAGAAGGCTCTACCGTTTCGTCGCCAACGTGCTTCAAGGAACAAGCGGAATGTCCGAGGAGCCGCTGGTCTGTGACCTTCCTCAGGGACCCAGCACAAGAAATTCTTCGCAAAATCTGGCCAGACAGTTGCTGATCATGCTGCATTTCGTGGCAGTGGCTGTGCTCTCATACAGCCAGAGACCAAGCTGGGACTGCCTCAGCAATCCGTCTTGCTAAACCGTGTCTCCCAGGCTTTCTGTTCGACCGCGGGTTCTGTGTGCACCGGCGTGGGGTTGTCGCTTCGAGACTTTGACTTAGGGCTTGCTGCAAGCCGGTGGCGAGAATAATTGGTGGTTGGGTCGGCCACTGTGAGACCACCTCTTGAGCCCAAGTTCAGCAGCTGCTTGCTTTAACTTAGAAGCTGGACCCAACTTCCTGAAGTGGAGGCTTGGGCCGGCCTCGGCAACCGAGTTTGCCGTGGCCACACTGTGGACGAAAGTGATCCCCTCGCAGCTCGGCTGACGATTGTTGAAGGCCAAGGTTATGCAGGTGAGACTGTCAGGTTTAGTTGCATCTTGGAGTCTTGCACTGAGTTTGTTTGGGTCCGAATCCCGGAACGGGCAGTTAAACTTCGAACCTGCAGACTAGGACCTAGGAAGCCGAAAGTTGGCAGAGCCTCTGTGGCCCCGCACCGCTTCGACAGCCCGGAGCTTGCCGACCGAAGGGGTACAGCTCCAACACCGTACAAGTACAAACGAAACCAAGTCTGCAGCGCCAAGAGGGTCCTCTTGTAACCAACGGCTGTCTCGAGTGAGTAGGAAAAGCACAAGAACCGCTGCATAAAATACATTGCTCATGTTCTATGAGTAAATGATGCTTCCAGTTTTTTGAGTATAATGCTGCATGGTGACCGCACTTGTTAATGCTGCAAAGCTTCACAGGCGAAATCTGAAGCTTTTGGATCCCTTTGCACCACGTGGTAAGTTTAGAGTGATCCCCATTCTCGCTGTTAGCACTTATACGATAGGACTGCTGACAAGTGGTCTAGACTTGGACTCGCTTTTCGCCTTCGAGAGAGAGAGAGAGAGAGAGAGAGCACTTATACGACATCGGTACGAGTGTCAGAAGGGCGAGCCCTGAAGCATGGAACAGGTTCGCCAGTTGTCAGCAAATAAATGCCTAACCCGAAACCTGAACTCAAAAGCTTACTGCACCAGCAGATCATCACGAAGAGCAGCAAGTCCAAGCCTGTAGTTCCTACAGGAGTGGAAGAATGTGTTCGAGAGAGTCCTCGGAAAAGGGAACTCTGTGCATCAGATGGACTGAGGTGTGAGTACTGGAAACGGTGAATACTGTGTGGAAGAAGCTGACATGTAAGGCGCATAGACGACAAGTCCAGCGAAGTGGTCAAATCCACACGGAGGAATTGCAAACAGTAGCGCAAACAAGTGACTTAGCCGTAGGCGGAATGCAGAGGGACTGCTGGACAAATGTTTCGTCTATTTGGGTTTGCTCTAATTTAGATCAGGTGTGCTAGATCAACTCTGGTTTCACTTGGTCCCAGCGTCCGATATGTGAAGCTCGAAGCCGACCTCTTGCCTGAGGATTACAACGTGACCAATGCCTCGACACTGGAGGAGAAAACGTCCAACAGAATGCATGCAACGTTTGTCAAGACAAGACTCTTCAGGGTCTGGAGCTTGCGAGTGCGGGAAGGTCGTTACTGTGTTTGAGGCAAGCAGGCTAGGATGCCGATGGACCGCGGATGGCTCTTTCAGTGTTTCTCGGGAAGAAATGTTGCTTTTGGACAATTCTCTTCGTCGCTTCAAAAGGAGCATCTTGAAATGGCGCTGTGGACCTTGAACCTAGTTGGAAGACACAAGCCTGGGCAAGAAGGACAGCCATGGAACAGGACAAAAGTCCAGAACTAGAGGCTTCGGGCTTGGGGCTGGAGTGGGAGTGACTGAAACGATTGAATCTCGTACCAGGAATGCAAGGCCAAGTGCCTGGAGGACCCGTGCAAATGCAAAGGCCAGGAATGACGTTAATGCCGTGAAGGGTCGGAGTGTTCTTCGATGCTAGCCGAACCACTGGAGTGATCACGTTAAGCCACCCGAAAATTCCATCAACTAGGGTGGAGAAAGAAAGATTCCGCACAGGTGTGGAGTACAACTCCGTTTCCGGCCGATGTGAAGTTTGGCATCGGGAGGTGGTGCCAAGAGAAGGGTTCATTGTTTGTTGGATGTTGCATGTGAGCTTGTTGAGGTCAAGCGCTTTGGGCTCTAGAGTTGTCAGGTGTTGAGGTCTAGTTCTCGGGTGGGTGAATCAGGAGTGACTGTCGATGTGCCCAGACAGGCAGCCCCGGAAACCTTTTGTCGGCTGACAGCGTGAAGCCCTACCAGGTTAGGCAACCCCAGCAGCCTTCGTTCCAGAATCCTCCTTGTCAAGCCGCCTCTGCAGGCCGGCATCTCCGCTTGGAGGGAGCCCGAAGTGAAGGGATTCACCTGCCAGAGGTCGGAAGTCGTGGGAGTCTGTTGGAAAGCTTCCTTTGCCTTCAAGGTCGGGTCCCAGCGGTTCTGGTCAGTGTTTATGAAGAGGCAACTCTGCAGTTGTCATGGCTGGGCAAAGGTTTGCGGCAAGAGTCTCATATTGCTTGTTGCTGGGTTCTGTTAGAAAACCGTCGTATCAAATCGTCGAATGTTTCAATAGCTTTATGGACATCCAACCTGGGAGGTTTGGGTGGCCGGCGAAGTACTTGATTCCTCTCGACGGTGGAGCGGGTCGGGCATGCCGCGGGGACACCGAGACTGACAATGATGACGGAGTCTCGGAAGCACGTTCAGATGATGCCGGCTTGGGAGTCTTCTATGAGGCCAGAGTCAATCCCATACTCCAGCTGAAGAGTGTGGTTGCAGGCTCAATAAAGATGTGGCCTGAGCAGCAAACCAGTCGTGCAGCATTCCATTGGTCAAGGGTTGCAAACTTGCAAGCTGGACTGGTGCTGAAATCCTGGATGCTCACATGGTTTCTTCAGGGCTTGGCCGAGATGGCTGTTTAAAGCTGCTTGAACCTGCAATCTAAGGCTATTACAGGGTCGAGGATGTGATGCACATGGAGGAGCAACCTTGGTTTCCTGCTTTGGCAGAACACTTGCAAACAATTACTCTAAACCTCATGTTCTTTAGGCTTCCTTGACCGCCTCTTGGTAGCTCGCTAGAACTTTCCATGCAGCCTGCCTTGTGCAGGGTGCGGGCGAGTGGAGTACTTGCAGCCTCAGGAAGCTCCATTCGGTTTTTTCTGGGTAGTACAAAATAATTAACACAGGTGAAACAAAGGTAAGCTGCAGGTGAGCGGGGAAAGGTAGAAGAAAGGTGAGGGTATGGGGGATAGCGAGGGTGAACGAAAAGTAAACCACAGGTGAAAGGGGTAAAAGGTAGGAAAAAGGTCAGGGAGGAGGTATGGGGGATAGCGAAGGCGAAACAAAAGATAAACTAAAGTTAAAGGTGAATGGGGAAGGGTAAGGGAAGACGTGCGGGGAATATGAAAGGTAAGGAAAAGGTATGTCACCTGTACAAGACGGACTCTTCTTTTAGATCTTGACATGCAGAGATATGCAACTATATGCAACTATCGTGCAGCCATTCACTCCTTGAATGCTGAGTTTGGGACTCTCAATTGAATGCTCGCCGGCTTTGCATTTTACTCGCTCAGACTTTACATGTGATTCATACTGAATGTTCAGATATGCGTTTTGTATGCAGTCAACCCGTTTCTGCGCCTCCTGTTCTCGCCGAGATTGGAGTAGATCTTGCAGTATCAGGAAGCCCAGTGGTTGAAACTTCATCAACGCAACGGCGGCTTTGGTGCATGACCACTCCCTAACAATTCAGCTGCGAAAACTTCCGAGCCAGTCTGCCTGCCGCAGGACTGCCGAGCTCGCTGTGTTACAGCCGTGGATTGTGCTATGCCTAGACATGTATTCATGAATAGATACCGACTCCGTTTCTCGCTTTGCAGTAGTATATCATGAAAGACCGCCGTACTTCTGTAGGGAGAGGTTGGGTTTGGTTTGAGTGCAGCTGCATGCGCCGAAGTGACGGGGCAGGGCAAATCCCCAAAGCCGAGCAACGGCGAAGTCCCCATATCCTACCGCTCGACATGCAGGCAAGGGGATTGAGTTCAGTGGCAACCGCTGCGAGATCTGGAGAGCCGTGGGGTTCCGGGATCAGGGAGGATGTCGGGTTCGCATTACAGAATTGCTGAAGGCAGCCTGGTGTCAGGACGCACGCCTCTTTGAGCAGACGCCACTCCCAAGTCGTCACGTTCGATTCATTCAATTTCATCTGGTGCCGGCCTGCCGGAAATAGGGCTACACTCCAACCCCAAGCTGGCTTGACTTTACCCGCGGTTCATTTTCTTTTCCGAAGCTCTACTCATAAGCAATCATCTCAGCGCCCGAGCCGCAAAACACGAAAGCTAGCTCTTCAGAAGCCGCGGCGTTTTTTTTCGGGTTTGACAGGTCGGTTATGAATTGTAGGATTTTTGGTGTGGTTTATCAAACGGTCAAAGGCGTGCATGGGGACGCTCTAAACTCGTGTGGGGCTCGGGGCTCACTTACCTGTCCTCAGCAAGAATTGACATCATGGGAGGCTCGTAATTGCACTTCGTTTTGCGTTTACAACCTTTCGTCACTGGCTTCTTCAGTCTCGCAGAAATTGAGAGCATGCTCTGGTCGCAGGACTCGGCCAATCCTCGCAACCAAGGCCCTGACCAACTTCACTTGCCTCCGCTACGAGGGTCCAGGCATCTCGTATTTTTTCTGCAGAGATGGCAGGCAGACTTCAGGCAAGGGAGGGCTTGTGAGGTTTCGGAAGCTTCGGGTCGCAAGGTGTGAACCTTCGGGGTCCCAGGTCGAGGAAGAAGGCCGCAAGACATGGCAAGACAGCAGCGGCGTTCCACGCTCAAACTCGAAGTTTTGGGGTACTGGGCTTAGTCAAGACTGTTGGCAAGGGTTCCGTCTGAGTAATTCAAGCTGTGGAGATGAGAAGGCTCGCCATCAACGTTTTTTTTGTGCACTTGCTGCCTCCAGGATCCAGCTTCTATGTGACAACGTTGGCGCCAATTCTGCCATGAGTACAAATCCAACATGTCTAGACTTGGGCGAAGTCCTGGAAGTAACCCCTTGGCGCTGACCCAGGAAGCAAGGGGACGTTTGAAGCTTACATGATTTTGTTCTGGTCAACCGAGTTGGCGTGTACAGCTATGAAGGCAAACACTGCCTCCATTATCTCCCAGTCTGGAGGGATCCAAGCTGGTTCTGCTCGGGAGCAGTCAGCTCCTCCACTCGAAGTGGAGAGAGATCCGTACAGCCCTGCCCGGTCGCGCCCAGGCGGGGGGCCACCTGAGCACTCCCCCCTCGCTGTCCCGGCGGAGGCTGAAACAAAAAGTGCAAAAGGAAGCATCAGGGATTTCAATCCCATGAATTGACGACGAAGCTTCATGTGAAATGCTAGCCACGAGGGACACAATGGCACTGAGAAATTGAACAAACAGTTGAGTTTTCTGTTTGCCGTTTTCCTCCTGGCTCTCGCCTGGTCTAGCTTTGGACAAGATGGTGTCGAGGCTGGGATGTTCGAAGTCCTTCGTAGCTACAGGCACGTAGCATTCCGGGCTGCAGGTCGCGCCCGCTCTTGGCCTTCGCTGCCCTGGTTGCGGCCCTGGTCGGCCAGTCGGCTGCACCCTCTAGATTTTCCTTTAGCAGTGCAGTTTTATCGGCTTTGAAGATACTCCGGATGGTTCGCAGGCCCTCGGGCCCTGCCTGACAGAACCGGCAGCTCGATTAAGAATCCCTGGCCTGCTTCAGTTTGGCTCTGTGTTTCTTCGCTCTCAGCCAGAAGTCATGTCGTCAGGTGTTAGCTCCTGCTGGATGACTGCTAGTCCCTAAGTTCGTACCATATGTTGCCATACAGCAACTTGTTAATCCAAGACAATTGCCCTAGCACACTGCAGCAGAAAGTGAGACACCGATGATGGACTTGCCTGTGTCGTCGTTTGCTTGCAGCAGAGGCTCCTGCAGCTTCGTGGTGCCACAGCACCTCAAGGTCCAGCATGAGCTTCCCTGGGTTCTGCAAATCGGGGGTCAAACGTTGTCCTCGTGAAGCTGTCAGAGGGGATTCCGAGGCTCCTTGAGGGCTCGGAGTCTCGTAGCCTTACTGTCAGCCTCGAGTCCGCTGCTCGCTTGACATGGATTTTTGGGCAAGGTGTTGAAGCGGTTTAAAGTTTGGGCCGTGAGTTTAAAGCTGAGGCCATAGCTTCACGCGCTCATGGCACGAAGCTTGATTTCATGGCATGCCCAAGCCAACGAAGCGTGCCAAGTCCCCGGAATCTCATCTTCGAAGCTAGTCCCTCAAAGCCTGCTGTGCGCACCCAGCCACCGTACCGCAGAGGTCCGAGCCCCCTCTGTTGCCTGCGGTGCAGCGTTTGGGACCCAGATTGCCGGGATAGCTCCACACCGAATCGTTTCCACATCCACTAACAATGTGGAGCATATGTGTGAAGGATTCATTGCATTGGACTCATTCCGTCAATATGGGTCACATGCTGATAAAGCGCCGGGTGCTTTGTGAAATTTGTTGTTCTCTGTTGCAAAGACCTGCTTCCACAGCCTTGTAATCGCAGTGTTGCCAAACAGGCAGGCTCCCTGAGATGGCGGAGGGGAGGGAACTGCCAAAAGCTGCACCTTGCATGCCGTCCCATCCATCCATCCATCCATCCATCCATCCATCCATCCATCCATCCATCCATCCATCCATCCATCCATCCATCCATCCATCCATCCATCCATGCCTCCGTGCGTGCGTGCGTCCGTCCGTCTGTTCATCCATCCATCCATCCATCCCTTCCATACGTCCAACCTTACATCCTTCCATCCTTCCATCCGTCCATCTGTCCATCCGTCCATCCATCCATTTGTTCTGCTGCAACGATAAGGAAAACAACGGATGCGAAGTGACATCAAGATCTAAAAAGCGACCAGCGGCCCTAAACGACACATTTCCTTCAGGGTTGGCACTTTGGGATGTCAAAGTTAAATCAAGATCCAGGGATGCCGACAACACCCCCGATGATCGCAACAGGACTGGCGCTGTTGAGACGTCGTAGCGATGACCCAGAACCCAAAGAACACGAGGATTTCAACCCCAAGCGACCCCATGCCCGTTAAGTGAGTGAGTGTGTGTGTGTGTGTGTGTCTGTGTGCGTTGTCGAGATGAAGCCATGATATCGGGATTCAAGAACCGACCATAGTTACGAGGAGTTCAGCCCGAGTCCACCTGAAACTGTCGGAACCGTTGAGGCAGGTCAAGGCCCAAAACCGACGACGGTCACGAAGTTCCAGATGCCTGACTAAAGACATGCATATGTGTGTGTATATATATATACACATATCTGTATTTATGTACAATACTATGTGTGTATATACTATGTATATATATATATATAGGTATAGATACACATATATATATATATACATACACCAAATAAAATGTGTATCTCTCTCTCTATATATATATCTACACACACATAGATGTGCAGAGATCCGTATTTTCTTGCTTAACTGTGTATTTCTCCTCATGCCTAAATCCACCAACCCACGAACTTTTAGTTGAATCATCAATCATGCTTCCTCAACCAAGCCCAAAGGCCTCCTGAATACCCGAAACCAAATCCGCTTATGTTTCAATGAATGCTTCCCAGCCAACCACCGCAACTGCTACTGCATCTTCCATTGCTCTATTGTTGGTGCCAACCTAGATGCCACATCCAGAAAAGGCAGAAAAAGAAAGAGTACAAAGTCAACGAAGAGATCCGGGCGAATGAGGCTTGCCCCTTTGCGGCAATCCACCTGGCGTGGCAGATGCCTTGTAGAACTTAGGTTGCTTGGTGTGATAGTGTGCAACGGCGATTTACGATGCAGATTTTCGCAGGCGGGTCACAGAGCAGCATCACAAACCGGAACTTGACACAACCAGAGCCCGGTCTCCTGTACGGCTAGCGGTTCTAAAGAGAACATCGTGTTCCACTTCACAGGATCGGGGCATGGTTTGGCGGTGTTCAGTGCCAACGGGCCGCTTGTTGTAGCCAGGTCCGTGTCATTGGCATTGTCAGCGACAAGTTGGAGACAGGCCCCGCTCGCATGGAGGCGGCATTTGTGGTTACCTGCGGTCCTGCACAATGCATGTGCATTTACCTTTCTATTACCTGAGCTCTGCGAAGGAGTGTCCTGAGTTGAGGGTTCGCAGGGCCGATGTCCTGGAGAAGTCTGTCGTCTGCCAGCGACCAACGAACCGGACTACATGCAAGCATGCTGACAATCTGAATGAATCCGTTCACTTATCAAACCTCCAATAGCTAGACGAGCACGGATCTTTCCTCACTCCCGTCGTACCTGCCCTCCACCCCTCCTGTTTGGGCCGGCGGCGCTACAGTAATTGCAATGTTCACCTTTTCAGAGATCCGAAATTGTTGTTGGGGTTGTAAGGGTTGGGGAGATTGAGTAGTGACAAAGGGGTTAGGTTCTGGCATCATGCCGTTGCTGCTGACAATGTGAAGGAGGCGAATGAGATTATGTCGCTCCGGGATGCCTTGGAGATTGCGCGAAGCAAGGGAGTGGATGTGATCCTCATCAACGAGGCCCCTGGTCCATCTAAATGCGCTAGCATTCGTCGAAAGCTGACTCAGCCATGAAAGAAGTCCTTCAGTTGTGGGAGTTGGGCGGTTTGAGAAGCTCATTTTGCTGTACTTTAGAAGTGAATGCCGAATTCTTTCTTCTGTCAAGATTCTGCGGCTCGAATGGGACCCCCGGGTTTGGAGTGGGTTTGGTTTGTTTTGGAAGGGGCTAGGTCAAACCTTTGGGGATATAGGTGCCCGGTTTACTGCGTGCAACCGGACGGCCCTTTGCTCCTTTTGGTTCCCTCTCAGGAGCCGGCTTGGTCTTTTGGCTCTTCCGGCTTCTCCCTACAGGGCCACCTTCCTCTTCGCCTCTCCAAAGGCCCTCCTCATCTGCTTCGAGCCGCCGCCTCGCTTTGTATGGGCAGCCAGGGTGATTCTGATATCACTCAGATTTCTTTTCAGTTCCAAGGCATTAGCATCTCTGTGACTAAGAGCCGCTCCCCTGCTGTGCCCCTAGGCCTTAATCCCGACACCCCGCCTTCCGAGCCTGGAGTTGGCTCGACGCCCGGCCCTAGGTGTAGGCCCCTAAGTCCCGAACCCGTGCAACGAGAAGAGCCTGCTGCCTCGTCCTCGCGACCTAGCTCGTCGTCTGCTGCTCCCGTCCTTGAGGCCTCCGGCCCTTCTCTCACCTTGCCCGAGGAGCCAGTTTTTCCTGAGGTCCCTTCTGCCTGGCTTTTGGCTGCAAAGGTCCTTCGTGCAAAAGGCTTGTCAGGCGAGGCACGTGTCAAGCAGGCCTGGACGGCAGGTTGCTGGGTGAGAGAGGTTCTAGAGGGTCGTAGGCGGTTTCCTCCCCCGACCCGTAAGCTGGACATAGCAAACAAGCACTACGCTGTTGCTCGCTCCGCGAACGGGTCTCCTCCTGAGATCTACTCCAGCCAGCGGGATTATTTCATTGCCGTCTGCGATTTGAAGACCACAGCCAGCCTGTCTCAGGGCTTTCCTTCGGAACTTGAGTGTCGCGTCTATTTGGACGCAGCAGGCATCACAGCTTACTTGCCCATCTGTTGATCAGATGGACCTTGAAGGTCTGTCCCCTGCCGAGGCAGGTGAGGTCGATCTCTACTTGTTGGACCCCTCGTCCGAGCCAGCGCTTGAGGAATGTCTTTCCTCACCCTGTGCTTGCTACTGTGTACTCAAGCGGCCTGGCGGGTTCCTGTTGGTTTTGCCCCAAGCTGCCGTTTCAGAGACCGCCTTGGCTGCTGCGGACGATGCAGGACACGTTGGGCTTGTGGGGCCCTCTCTGGCCACAGCTTGCAAAGGCATCTCCCTGACCGAGACGGGAGACTGGGCCCAGGTTTATCCGGCACGGCAGGTTCAGGTCAGGATGGTGGATTTCGAGGCCTCGGTCTGCAGCTGCCTTTCTTCCCTAACCGGGGCCGCTGTCGATTACATTGCCTTCGATCCCGACGACCCTACGCTTTTCCCACTGGCCGTCGAAGTGGTTGCTGCTGCCCTGGCTTGGCTCCGAGACCGACCGGGGAGCCGAGGCGCAGCAGGTTATGTTACAGCAGAGGAGTTGCCGGCCCACCCCCCTCCTGGGGCTCTCTTGGGCAAGCAAGCAAAGACACGTGGTGCCGAGCGAGCAAAGAAGCCAACCCTCGCTTGGCTGCACAGCAGAGCATTTTGCAGGACCTAGTACTCTTGGTCGACCAGGTCCAAGCTCCAAGCTCCCCGTGTGCAAGGTCAGGCCGACCTAGCTGCCCAGGTGCCGTCGCAGGTGCAGGTTCAGGTTGGAAAGCCAGTGCTAACAGCCCCGCTCCACCAGACTCTGCCTCCCCCTCCGCCGAGAGCGAAGAGGCTTTCAGATATCCTGGGACCGCCGCCCCCGGCCAGAGCGCCCCAGGCAGACATGCAAGTTCTCCCTGCCATCGAAGTTCCTGGCGACGAGGCCCTCCCAGGCATTATGCAAGAAGAGTTGCAGCCAGGGCCGCTTGCCCAAGCCATGCTGATTCAGGCCAAAGCCCCCTCCAGTTTAGTGGCTCAGCTCTCCTCAGGCAGTGCCGACCAGCTCCTGGATTCCAGCGGAAGTGGTTGGCAGTGCGGGCTGGCGATGGATCTCCTGGCCCGTGGCGAAGCCTGCGGGGCAGCCGACACGATGGCCTCGTTGCTGGTTTTCTTCGAGCAGACGGTTCTCGACGGCTCCCCGACCTGGGATGGCTCCTGGCTCATCTGCCAGACCCCCCGAACGGGCTCTTCATGGATCGCACCACGACGCCCACGACGACACTGAGGCCGTTTTCGCCGCTAGCCGACCAAAGGCTTCTAGCCACGACCTTGGCTTATGTCAAGGAGCTCGACTCCCAGCAAAGAAGAACGAGCTCCCAAAGCCAAAGCCGCCAACGAAGCCCACCTCCACTCCGAAAGGCGACCCAGGCAGCGACGAGGCAGCCCTCTCCCGAAAGCAGCTGCGCGCTCAACTGTGGGCCGCCAAGAAAGCGAAAGGCACCTAGAGCCGAAGAGCTCTCCTTGCATGCTGCCCAATGGTTCCGGTGCATCTTCCTCCCGTGCTGATGTCTTTGGGCAAAAATTAAGTTTTATCAAGTGGGCCGCTGCCTTACCTAGGCTGCTTTTGGCCACCAACACCAGCTTCAGCCGCCTGTTGCGGGTGTCGTTTTCTGTCCGCTTCCACGAGGGGGAGCCGCCCTCTCACACCGCACTCTTCCCCTTGCCTGCTCCCTGTTCCGGAGCCTTCTGCAAGGGAACCCCGAAGCGATGCAGCCGCTCTGTGAGACGTGCCCTCCTTCTTGGCTCTCTTGTTGACAGATGCTTGCACATAGCCGTTATGGCCCTTAACCACGCCCACGCCGATGGTCGGGCTATACCTCTTTCGGCTCTTCGGAGACCACCTTCGGTTGTTTATAGATGCGAGTGCCCGCCAGCCCTCCGACTTTCCGCTTGCCGGGGGCCGGCGTGGAGTTCACCTTCTTGCACGTTTGGACGAGCTCAGCACATATTTGAAGATGTGCGGCATTTCCCAAAGTGTGTACCCTGGCTGCTCCGAGGTAAAGGGCCTCGTGGCTCGTGATGAGACTGGCCCCACCGCTTTGCAGCCCTACCGTGACGCGGTCGCAGATCGGCTTTTGATTTCCGGTCGTGGCCACTGGGACGTCAGCCCTTTTCTTGGCCCGGAGCTCCTCCTCCCCTATCGTGAGCCGCTCGTGTTAAAGGGGATTCCTGAGAACTCCCTGAGCTACCCTGACACTTTGAAGGAGGACAAGGAGGAGATCCTGAAGGTGTTCGGCCTCTGGGATAGCCTGGGCCTGCTTTCAATCACCCCTGCCCCTGCTCATCCCAAATCCCTTTGCCGCATTTTCGGAGCCTACAAATCCCCATCATGCGACCGTATGATTGCGGACCGCCGTGGACCTAACAGTCTTGAGGGTCGGCTGTGCGGTGTCTCTTCAGATTTGCCTCAAGGTTTTCTGGTTGCTGGATTTTCGGTTCCCAAGGGTTTTTGCCTTGTGTGGCGCCAGCGCAGACAGGAGCGACTACTACCACCAAATCTGGACGACGCCCCAGCGCACCGCGAGCAACGCGGTGGGACTCTTCGCCTCTCTGAGCTACGCGCGACTCGTGCCCACGGTGAGTTCTTTGAGAGGGCCATGGCCAGCTTGGGGTCGGACCGAAATAGCGTGCTAGGTCGGAGCCAGCGCTCCACATGCTCCCTTCAAGGTCGCTGAAGGACTTTGGTTTGTTAACGGAGGATAGGAGGTTGGTCGCAGGCCGACCGCCCCCCTTTTCCGATTGCGCCGAAGCGCCGAAGCTGCCACTTTGTCGGGCCTTGAGGGCGAGGCCCTTTCGGCGGCCCTCCGCTCCACAACCGCTTCAAAGTGCATTGCTAGAGCGAAGTCGGCCTACGCCCACGCAGGCCTCGCGGGGTCCGACCACAAAGACAACCTGGGATCCCTGACTTTCACCGTAGCAGGAGCCGAGGTGTGTTCGGAGCTCGAGCTGGTCGAGAAAGGAGCCGTTCTTGTTGGAGCCCCCCTACAGAGGAGGCTTGCCCTGTCGTATGTGACTCTAAAGGCAGCTGCTTTGCCAGCAACATCGGAGGAGCTAGTATCCTCTCTGCTCGGGGCCTGGGTGTCTTGCATTCAGTTTAGGCGCCCTTTTTCTTGCTTCCTTGATACGGCCCTTAAGCTAGGTGCAAAAAAGACCTACCCTGCCGGGAGCCCTGCGAGAAACCTCCCTCGGAAAGCTGCCTGTGAACTTTCCCTGCTAGCTGCCTGTGCACCCCTCCTGGCATCAAACATAGCAGTGCCGTACGATGATCACGTGTACTGTGCTGACGCCTCCCTGGCGAAAGGTGCCTTTTGCCAAGCCCGAGTTGGCAGGGACATCTCTGAAGCGCTCTGGCGCTCCGGAACAAAGGGCGGCCACACTCGCCTAAGTCTCCTAAGGCCTAACGACCCTAGTCCCGAAGCCCCCGCAGGTGAACAGCCGTCGCACTCAGGAACAGAAGGCAGCCGCGCCCGACCTAGTCCCCGAAGACCCGGTGACTCTAGTTCCAAAGCTCTCGCTGAACAGAAGGCGGCCACACTCAACCTAAACCTTTAAAGCCCGACGACCCTAGTCCCAAAGCTCCTGTTGGCGGTCAGCTCTCGCACTCCAGAGCCGGAGGCGACCACACTCGTCTAAGTCCCCGAAAGCCTGATGACCCTAGTCCCAAGTCCTGTGCAGGTGAGCAGCCGTCGCACTCAGGGACAGAAGGCGGCCACACTCAACCTGGTCCCCTAAGGCCCGGCGACCCTAGTCCCAGACCTCCCGCTGGCGGTCAGCTTCCGCACTCCAGAGCCGATGACGACCACACTCGGCTAAGTCCCCTAAGGCCCGACGACCCTAGTCTCAAAGCCCGTGCCAGCAAACAGCGTCTGCACTCCGAGACTGAAGGATGCCACAACTGCTCTAGTCCCCTAAGGCCCGGCGAGCCTACCCCAAGTCTGCTAAACCAGTGTTTTTACATTTTGGTGTGATTTACCTAAACCGAAAAAAATTACAAAGACAAAATGTAAATTTCTGTGTAAATGTAAATTTCAAGCAAAAAGCAAAACAGCATCAAAACAGCATCAAAACAGCATCAAACAGCATCGAAACAGCATCAAAACTGCATCAGCAAAAACACGGCTAAACACCCTAAACCAGACAAAATCTTACTTTTGCGACTCGTCCGTGCACAGGCCGAGCCCACAGGCAACACGACGAAACACCCTAACCCAGG